AAACTCCGGCCTCGCTTCTGTGGTCCTTTTCTCGTTGATGCACAGGTGACACCAGTTACATTCCGCTTGCGCTTACCAGATACATGGAAGCTTCACAACGTTTTCCATGTCCAGCTACTGAAGCCCTACAAGGACCCCAACCAACAGTTCCAGGGACGGCAACTACCGCCACCACCACCTGTTCTCATACAGGATGAACCTGAGTACGAGATCGAGCGCGTTCTCACTCATCGGCGCCGCAGCGGCAAGGCCCTCGAGTTCCTGATACGCTGGAAGGGATACGACCCCACTGAGGATAGTTGGGTTGCAGAAGCTGATATGGGCAACGCACGCCGTACTCTCAAGGACTATCTTGTCAAGCAGGGTGTATCTCACGCCACCCAGCTTTGAGGGGGGGACGTGTGAGAGTACGACGGCTTATGCCAGCTATGCTTGCTTGCCTTACTTTATTATGTTATTTCTAGCATGGGATAATTATATGCATGCATGAATTGCTTGATTTTCTAGGCTAGGTGCTTTCTTATATTTTATTATAGTTATAGCACCGAGCTAGGTTGCGTGCACCGAATTCTGGATTTTCGGTTGCCACCGAATTGCCTTCTTCCGAATTCGGTAAGGATCTGTTTGGGACGCTTCGCGACCCGCGGAACCTTCGCGTAACACCTGGTTACGGGGCCCTGTGTCGAGCCTATATATAGCCTCGTGTTGTACCCAGGTGATCATTCAATTCAATTCAATTCATTCACATTCTCTTTTCTGAGCTCGATCTTAGATCCTCACACATGGGCTGACCCCGCCGTCGGCCTCCGGTGATGAGGGGAGACGTGGGGCGTCACCTGTTGCGTCGGCCCCAAGCATCGCCGGTGGCCGACGTGATGCTGTGCAAGTCAGCGTGGGAGCAAAGCTGACGCTAGGGATGAGCAAATGGCGAACTCGAACACGTTTGGGTTCGAGTTCGCTCGAACATCATCTTTTCCCGAACCGAACACAGTTCGGTTCGGCGAACACTTTGAGCAAAAAATGGTGTTCGCCGTTCGCCTGTGAAGGCGTGTTCGGGCGAACCTCGAACAGTGTTCGTGTTCGTCACGGGCAAATTGCAGCGGCGGCCCGAACACGAACGTGTTCGGGCGAACATCGAACACTGTTCGGCGAACATTTTAAGCCAAAAAAAAAAAACCTGTTCGGTTCGCCTCGAACACGTTCGAGGCGAACCGAACAGGTGTTCGCCACCTTGCTCATCCCTAGCTGACGCCGACTGAAAGGCAGCAGGTGGTGCAGCCGACTTTGGTGAAGCCGGTGAAGCAGACGCCTGCAGAACAGCAGCTGACAGGGGAGCAGGCAGCAGCAACGCCGACCAAGGAGCAGTCGGTGACCGGGCAGTCGGCAGAGGAGCCGACCATAGGGGAGAAGTTGGCTGGGACGCCGACTGAGGCGCAGCAGGACGCCGAGGACAGCGACGATGGAGGGAACGCCAAGGAGATCCAGCCGGGACTACGGCGTACAAGCGGACTTCGGAGGCCGCCTGACTTCTTTGTTCCCGCTGCCTTCAACACGGTGTACGACGTGGACGATGATGCCGACGACCTGCTGTACGATGACGCCGAGGAGGATGAGGAGTTTCCGGAACTCGACCCCGACATGTTGGCTGACCCCAAGCACCGTTGGGACATCTCGACGATGATGGTGAAGCAGGCGTTGGCAAACTGGAAGGGCCTGTCGGTGAAGGCCGCCATGGAAGAGGAGATCCGCAGTCTCATCAACATGGGCACGTGGGAGCTGGTCGAACGCCCGCCGGGAGTGAACATCATGAAGTACCGGTGGGTGTTGACGACGAAGTACCACATCGACGACATCGTCGAGCGAGAGAAGGCGAGGCTGGTCGTGAAGGGCTTCACGCAGGTGTACGGCGCCAACTACGACGAGACGTTCGCGCCGGTGGGCAGCTACATCGCGCTGAGGATCTTCCTCAGCATCGTCGCTGTCCTCAACCTCAACCTGATGCAGCTCGATATGAAGAACGCCTTCCTTCAGAGCAAGCTCGACCGAGTGCTCTACTGTAGAGCTTCTACATGTCCCAGCCGGACTACTTCAACGACGGAACCGGCCGGGTGTGCAAGCTGCTGAAGAGCCTGTACGGGCTGAAGCAGTCACCGCTGCTGTGGTACTTGGCGCTCAACGATGTGCTGGTCGGCGCCAGGTGGAAGAAGAGCCAGGTTCAACGAGGCTCTGTACTTCAAGGTTCGCGTCGACGGAGTGGCCTGCTGGGTGCTGGTCAACGTCGACGACCTGCTCGCCGCCAGCAGCAGCGCCGCGATGTTGAAGGAGCTGAAGGCGCTGCTGGAAGCCGCCTTCGAGCAGCGTGGGATCTTGCCGGTGCAGAAGTACCTCGGGCTGGAGATCGTCCGCGACAGGTCGGCGGAGAAGCTGTGGCTGCATCAGCAGGGCTACGCTGACAAGCTGCGTAGGCGCTTCATCGACGAGGAGCAGACCGGGCGGAACCCGAAGACGCCGGTCTCGGTCGACGCCTAGGCCGAGCTCACCTTCGTCGACGAGGAGGCGCAGGAACACTAGGAGGAGGAGTACCGGCAGAAGGTTGGCTCGCTGCAGTTTGCGGCGACGACGACGAGGCCGGACATCGCCTTCGCCTGCAGCAAGCTGGGGAGCGGCCTCACAGTGAGGAGCGACCAGCACTGCCGCGAAGTGGACCGCTGCCTCGCCTACCTCGCCAACATGCGTGACACCACCCTGGAGTTCGGCGGTGGACCAGAGTCGCTGGAGCTGGTCGGCTATATGGACGCCGACGACGCCAGTGACAAGCAAAACCGGACGAGCATGGCAGGCTACGTGTTCGTCTACGGAGGGGCCGCAGTCTCCTGGTCGAGCCAGCGCATTAAGTGCGAGACGTTGTCGTCGACCGAGGCGGAGTACATGGCGGCCACCGAAGCCGGCAAGGAGGGACGCCGACTTCGTTTCCTCCTTGCAGAGTTCCGGCAGCCGGACGTGGGAAAGCCGACTGTCCTGCGAGTGGACAACAAGTCGGCCATCACGGTCGCCGAGGGCATGGGGTTGACAGGCAACCTCAAGCACATGGAGCGGCCACAGGCCTGGCTGCAGCACATGGTGAAGCGCGGCAAGTTGTCGCTGAAGTACATTCCGACTGCTGAGCAGCCAGCCGATTTCCTGACGAAGGCGCTGCACTATCCGGGCTTCAACCGGTGCTCCGTCGCAATCGGCCAGATGCGCTTGGCCGACGTGGGCGACGGCGACGACGACGTGCAGCAATAGGTGCCATGCCCTCTTGAATGTTTGGTGCGATGACCGGCGTGCTGTGTCTTGACTGCACGCCGATGGGCTATTCTCGGAGCTGTACTGCCGTGTGGTCCGGGGGCCCAAGCGTGAACGCGGCAGGGGAGTGTCAACGGGAGTGTTGCTTGGCCCCTCCTCGCTTGGGCGGAGCCGACCTCGTGGTCGACTGTGCAGGGGTTGCAGCCGACCTGCAGCAATGGGCACAAGGGCCACTACAAGGGCGCCGAGCTGGAGGGTGCCTGACTGGAGGGCGCCGAGCAGGAGGACGCCGTCCTGGACGCCTGGTTGGCGTCCTGGACGCTTGGACGGCGTCCTGGGAAGTTGGATGCCGGCCTGGGCGTCGGCACGACTACCTAGGCGCCTGGTCGGCGTCGTGGGCGCCTGCACGGCAACCTGGAAGGCCAGACGTCGACCTAGGCGTTTGCACGGCGTCCTAGGAGCCTGGGACACCGCCCTGGGCGTCTGCACAACGTCCTGGGGGCCTAGACGCCGACCTGGGCGTCTTGGGGGCCCGGACGCCGACCTGGGCGTCTGATTGGCGTCCTCGGAGGCTAGACGCCGCTCTGGAGGTCTGCACAGCGTCCTGGGCGTCTGGACGCCGACCTGGGGGTACGGACGGCGTCTTGGGCGCCTGGACGCCGGACTGGGGACGCCGGGCATTGGTGGCCAGCTACGGACTGTGCTGGTTGACCGGGCGTAGTTGCCCGGTCGACCGGGATACCCGGGCGACGTGCACGAATGTCGCCGGGGTGGAGTCTGCGAGGCCGACCTCGGGGGTGGTATCTCGAGGTCGACGTGGCTGGTGGGCGCAGTCGCTGGCGTAGAGTCTGTCAGGCGTCTGCGCTGTGCTCGTGACAAGGTGTGGAGCGCCAACCAGCTGCGCGCACCTGCGAAGCAGGTGCACCGTTGTCCTGCGGGTGCAACGCAGTGCAGCCGACTTGCTGCAGCGTTGGCACACCGTGGACTTGCAACGTTGGCGATCTCCTACTCTGCAACGCTGGAGCGGTGCGAGCGCTGCTGCACTGGAGCGCGGTCGACCATGCTGCGCTGGAGGTCGACCAGCAGCCTAGCTAGCTCTGATGTAGTCTGTGAGGCCAATGTTGTTGGAACCATTGTTGTCAATCTTTGCTAGTGAAACTCTTGCAAATCTCCCCGTGAATGTCCAAGCAGAGAACACACAAACAAACGACTAATGACCAACGAACGCAGAGATCATACGAGCACCCGTGCCTAGTCCGTAGTCTAGCTCCCGTTGCAGCAGTTATCTCCGCAAACGACACCTCCTACCTATCGACCATACTGTAGGAACATTCGTAGCAGCGAAGGAATAAGGAGGGACTTGGCGCCGCGCCTAGAAGGAGCAATGCCCAGAGACAGACCTTTCAGCTGAAAGCTCAGTCCTACATCCTTGCTGCTCGATATAGGACTAAGGTAGAGTTACATGTGTATGAAGTTCGCGTGGTGTCCCAACTTCGAAACGCCTGCTAAGGACTTGATTTTAAGCTTAAAATGGTACAGCACTCAGTGTATGTCGAGCTAAGAGCACAGTTCAATCAAGATTCGAAGCATATACAACCTGATGCAGATCGGGCTGCACGCTAAGTGTACTATGCATGCATTCATGCTGCAGCCAAGAAGCATGCAAGGTCTGGCTGGGGCTCACACATGTAGGGCAAACGAGGAACAGCACTAACAAGTAATTGAGGCTTATGAGATTGCCCATGGATGCAGGGATGGTGCCCGTTAAGCTGTTGTAACATAGTTCCCTGATCGGCAAATGCACACAGACGGAGGGCCAGGATACATTGGAAATGAATAAATGAGGGCACGAATAGATAGCAAATGAAAACGGAAGGCATGCATACAGCGTAAAAGAAGCCACGCAAGACTTGATTGAGGGACATGCATTCATAGTGGGAAGTGGTTTCTGACTTAATCTGGCACTTGCTTGGCTCGGCCTGGCTCCGCTTAGCTCGGCTCGTGTAAGGGACAAGCGCGCACCAACTCAAGCCGAGTGGTACATTTGGTTGGCAATAGTTCAGCTTAACTTGGTGTGGTACTCAGAGATAGAATGGTGCTACATCAACATTTTATAAGTGTGGAACCAGCTTCCTCATGCCCTCCTCGGAGAGTTGGTTCTACATTTGATGATTTTGTGTTAGGACAAAACAAAGTGTTAGGATAAAAGAGATGAGCCTAGGTTACGAGGCATGCATGGCCTGTCTCTTTAGGAAACTCACAAGTCGGTCAGCTTTGGAAGGTTGCCGATAGTAGTTGGTATTGGGCCAGTCAGGCTACTGTTCCATAAAGCTCTGCATTGGAGAAAGGAAGGAGGGTTGTACGGAGAGACGAAAGGCCAACTTACGAGCTTTTGCGACCCATGACTAACTAAGTGAAACCATGAAACAAGAAGGCTCACAACAAGCTCGAATCTGAAGCACTCACAAGGTAACAAGGTCTTTTTTGTGGCACTCCAGAAACAGACGCCAAAGAAGGAGGAGCACTGGCAAGGTGTGAGTGCCTGCCTCATGTCAAATGTCCACTCTCTGAGTGCCTCACATCGCATGTCCAGTTGTGTTGTGAGTGCCTCACATCGCATGTCCAGTTGTGTTGTGAGTGCCTCACACCGCATGTCCAGTTGTGTTGTGAGTGCCTCACCTACCTCACATGTCCACCCAGGGAGGAGCAGCACTCACAAGTATTCAAGGCTTTGGAGGTTGCTGATGGAGGCAGGGATTGAGCCTTTTAGTCTCTCGTCGGAAATGCTTCTGATGGTCGGAGATTGAAACGGGCAACAGCAATGGAGAGAGATCTGCTGCATGTGTGCATGATACATGCATGTGCTGCATGCGTGCATGATACATGCATGTGCTGCATGCGTGCATGGTACATGCATGTGCTGCATGCGTGCATGATACATGCATGTGCTGCATGCGCGCATGATACATGCATGTGCTGCATGCGTGCATGATACATGCATGTGCTGCATGCGTGCATGATACATGCATGAGCTGCATGCGTGCATGATACATGCATGTGCTGCATGCGTGCATGATACATGCATGTGTTGCATGCGTGCATGATACATGCATGTGCTGCATGCGTGCATGATACATGCATGTGCTGCTTGCGTGCATGATACATGCATGTGCTGCATGCTTGCATGATACATGCATGTGCTGCATGCGTGCATGATACATGCATGTGCTGCATGAATGCATGTGACATCTGTGTACTGCATGCATGCATGTTCTTGTAACTCGGTAGAATGAAAAATCGATTCCAAAAAATGATGGAAGAAAATGGTGGTTCAAGGTTTCTTTGAATCGCACAGACATAACCTTGGGTAGGGAGGCAGCTAGTGAGTTGCTGATGTTTTTAAAAGGAAGTGAGGATAAGAGGGAGGGTCTAGGGTGCGGAGAGGCGAGAACAAACCGTCTGACTTAAATGGACCAAGGTTTAGGGTTCAAGAGAAAAACATATTGAAGCCCACCTGAGTCCACACACCTGATTAACTTACCAAGGCCCACTCACATGCGTACATCATCTCACTCAGAAAGGTCCCCTCACATGTCAAACATCAAGGTCCTCTGCCATGCTTTTATCATCTCACGAAGGTCTCATAACCTGTTTTCCTGTTTTCACCTCACTCAGAGAGTTCTCCTCACATGTCAAACATCAAGGTCCACTGCCATGCTTTTATCTCACTCACGGAAGTCTGCTCACATGCTTATATTAACTCACTCACAACGCTCTGCTCACATCTTTGTGATCATGCCCTGGGAGTCGCACGTGACAGTGCTTGCATTGTCGCAGTCCCCACCAACCGCCCAGCCGTCAAACGTGGGGCGGCCCCACGCCTTCTGAAAATCCAGCAGGACTTGCGCTGGCGGCAGGGCGGGGGAAGGAGGAGTGGAATGGACGAGGGAAGGGCGGAGGGCAAAGAGGAGAGAAGGGAGGAGGGGGGGGGGGGGGGGGGGGGGGGGGGGGGGGGGGGGGATGAGGGGGAAGGGGCGCCGTGGCAGAGAGGAGGGAAGGGAGTGGGGACTTGGACGGTGGTTCGACCACCCCTGTTTGCACCTCCTCCCACCGCCCTCATCACATTCCCCCCATCTCATCACTTTCCCTTCCACCATCACATTCCCTCCCACCTCATCACAATCCCTCCCTCAGATCCCCACCTTCCGTCCCACCTCATCGCATTCCCTCCCACCTTTCCTTCCCACCTCATCACATTCCCTCCCACCTTCCCTCCCACCTTCCCTCCCACCTCATCGCATTCCCTCCCACCTTCCCTCCCACCTCATCGCATTCCCCACAACCTCATCACATTCCCTCCATATGCACTTCCACCAAACTTTCAACTTCACTGCGCCCCCTCTCTTCTCCCCTCCCCCCTCCTCTCCCCTCCCCTCCACGCATGTATCCTTTTCTCTCCGCTCCTCTCCTATCCTCATTCGAGCGTGTTTAATTTTAACACGATGCTTCCGCGGATCGTCGCTTGAGTGTGGGGCGCGTGACGACGCCAAAAAGCGCAGTGATCTATTCAAGGGTTTACAGCACGCGCGCATTACGTCACGTCATGCACATTCAATCGCAAGTTGCGAGCGGCACGCACCCTGTGACTTGGCAAAAGGGACGCATTCGACGCGTGAAACCGCGTGACACGTCAGCAGCAGCAGCACGCCGAGCAGAAGGGATTCTGCGGGCTTCATCACGTCGCGATGGTCGCGGCAAAGCCAGGCACGTTCTCTATTCATAACTTATTATTATCAGCTAACGCGTCTAAATTAATCGTATCATTCTACTTCGCTGTAAATACCACTGAAGAAAGGTAAGGGGAAAATCGTGCGGGAGAACTGCCTGCTTACATGGAGGAAGGTCAGGAGTGGAAGGGGGGGTGCCAGAAAAAAACGCATATGACGAAGTTGGATCTTGCTGGTGTTTTGTCCCTGAAATGAGTGGTTCAAGGGCGACGTCAGGTTAGACATTTTTCATGGGTTTACAGTTCTTGTATCGTGGTTCAGAACGGTCCAACACGGTGAAAAGTGGTTCTCGAAGTTTACCGCTCTGCACCGTGTTGAATGGAAGTTAACCGCAGTGGGCGTACAAAAAGTTGTACAACCTGACGTCGCCCTAAACCATTTGTCAGTGACACTGCTTTTTGTTTTCGCCTCCCGACCTGATAGTTGTAGTGTTTTTTTCTCCCATGAAGACATCATTTTTTTAGACACAAGTCGCTGATGCATTATAGTAGAGGACCCGCAGCTTGTCGCAACCGTGGGGGCGTAATGAAGCCCGCAGCAACCCTGCTGCTCGGCGCGCTGCTGCTGCTGCTGCTGCTGACGTGTCACGCGGTCTCACGCGTCGAATGCGTGCCTTTCGCCAAGTCGCAGGGTGCGTGCCGCCCTGAAATGCTGGTGATAAGCATGAATCAATCATGTTTATGGCCAGTCAATGACTCATTGTACATATGCGCGTGTCGAAAATCTGAGAAGTACTAGAAACTGCGCGCTTCCGCGGCGTCACGCCTCGCCTCCCAGCAAACACGGCTTGCTCCCTCTGCGCGATCAGCGCAGCATCATATTTGAGATAGCTGCAGTCGTGCATTCGATTCAGAAAGGGAAGGGGGGGGGAAGGGGAGGCGGGAGGGGAGGGGAGGGGGAGGGGAGGGGAGGGGAGGGGAGGGGAGGGGAGGGGAGGGGAGGGTAGGGGATGGGAGGGGAGAGGAGGGAAGGCGCATTCAGCTGGGAAGCTGGTATCTTGTCCCTCTTTCCCTGTTCACTCGTCCATGTGCCCTCCTCGTTCATCAGCGCCCTTCTCGCACACTGGCTGGCAGGAGGTTGGAAGAGCATGTGATGAGGCGGGAGGGAATGTGATGAGGCGGGAGGGAATGCGATGAGGTGGGAGGGAATGTGATGAGGTGGGAAGGAATGTGATGAGGTGGGAGGGAGTGTGATAAGGTGGGAGGGAATGTGATGAGGTGGGAGGGAATGTTATCAAAGCGGTGGGAGGGCATGCGAAGGCGGTCATTGGTAGACTCGCTGAGTCCCCTTGTTCCACTCCCTTTGGTAGACCCTCCTCTCTGCCACGCCCCGCCCTTCTCTCCTCTCTGCCACGCCCCGCCCTTCTCTCCTCTCTGCCACGCCCCTCCCTCCCCCCTCTGTACCGCACCCCGCCCTTCTCGTCTCTCTTCCGCGCCCCCCTTTCTCTCCTCTCTTCCACTCCGCCCTTCCCGCCGCCAGCGCAAGTCCTGCTGGACTGTCAGAAGGCGTGGAGCAAAACGTTTGACGGCTGGGTGGTTGGTGGGGACTGCGACAATGCGAGCAACGTCACATGCGATGCCCAGGGCATGATCACAGAGATGTGAGTAGACGTTTGTGAGTGAGATGATAAAAGCATTCGTTGTGAGTGAGATGATAAAAGCGCGTGTGTTAGCTCAGATGTACCTCAGATGATAAACTGCGGTTCCTATTGCTCGCCGCCCCCTTGACTCTCCCTCCTCCCTCACCTCCCTCGCTCTGAAAAACAGCAGCAACTCACTACTAGCTGCCTCCTTCCCTAGCTGCCCTGCCCCCTCTTCCCACTCTTCCGCAACCCCCGCCCCCCCCCCCCCCCCCCCCCCCCCACCCACCCCCCCCCTCCTCTCTCCCCACTCCCCTCACTTTTCCGCTCCTCTCCCAGCCCGTACCTCTCTCAATGCCTTCCTTTGTCCGTCGACCGCTCCTCTTTCCCCGCTTTCCTCACCCCTCTCTCCCTTCCCTCCTTCCCTTGTTACTCTCGTTCCCCGCGTTGGTGTTGACACCCCTTCACCAGCCTGCAAAGGCGAATTCCATGCAAATCAAAGAAAGTTATGATTGTCGTTTTCTTGCCCTTTTTTTTATCTGATTTCCCCGAGTTCGAAGAACATGCATGCATGCAGGACATCACAAAAATCCTGCGTCCAGAAAGCTGATGAAAAGAGTTGCTATGGAGCTTTGTCGAATGATTTATAAACGTATTGTTTCGAACGCTTTTTTGAGAAAGTATAGTACGCTTTCCAAATGCTTTGTCGAATGCTTTTCAAATGCTTCTGCAATGCTTCTCAGTTCAAAGCTGCACCTTGAATACCTTCGACTTAAGTTTAATACGAGTTTTCCCTAAGTGATTTTGGAGATTAGATCTCATTGCAATTTACTCTTTAGTGAGTTTGTATGTTGAATTCATACTGTTTATAATTGGACATTCCACAAACGTGATTAATTTTAACAATTCATGATTCTTGTGTGATTGGGTTCAGATTTTCCATTAGTAGAAACGCCAGCATTATGTAAAATATATCCATAACACAATGGCAGATAAAAAGAATTAGAACTACTCTCGCCTATTGGCGGGGGTGATCTACGCCTTAAACATGATTTGGGCATGGTCTTGGCCGAAGACAGCACCTACTGCAAATCACCAAGCAACCCTTGCAGTTCACCATAAGCGTTAGCCATGAAATTTAAACCAGTGACATGTAAATTGAATGTTTACCAGAAAAAGGAGTGGTTGAAACCGGAGATTAATAGGAAATATAAAACCGCCTGCCAGCGAAATAAACGAACAAAAACGAAAGCGTTTCATTAGCTAGCAGTTTGGATAAGCGCAAGAGTAGGAACTAGCGCTTTCTTGAAGGAAACCGTGCGACCTGCACACGGGGATAACAAAGAATTAAAACGCGGAGAGAGATATGCACCGCGGAGCACAAGGCCTCACTGAGTAAACGCACTGCATGATAGTAGAAACACAGCCAACGACATTCGTTAGATAACAATTCCCGCTAATACATAGAAGGATCTAACGTGGCCTTAATCAGAAAACAGCGCGACCTGGGCTTCGACCTGCATATGTTGATCAAGAGGAATTTAAACGAGGAAAGCACACTTACCACAGAGCACACACCTACACAAAGTAAACAGAGTGCACGAGGGGAGAGACTGTCAAATGTTGTAGCCTGTAGTGAGGTTTGTCTTAGGGGGTACAGAAGTTAGGGTTTGTTATATGTACCCCAACCAACATCAATGGTATCATCATTCCTCATTCTGACATGGTATCAGAGCGTGAGCGCTACTTTCTGGTGGTCGTTGACGACTTCTCCCCCGTCGCTTAGCGCCCTTTCTCCCCGTCGCCTAGCGCCCTTTCCCCCCCCCCCCCCCCCCCCCCGTCGCGTCGCGCCCTTTCCCCCCGTCGCCTAGCGCTCTTTCCCCCCCGTCGCGTCGCGCCCGTTCCCCCCGTCACGTCGTGCCCGCCCTTTCCCCCCGTCCCGTCGCCCTGTCCCGTCGCGTCGCCCTGCCCCGTCCCGTCGCCCTGCCCCGTCGCGTCGCCCTGCCCCGTCCCGTCACCCTGCCCCGTCGCGTCGCCCTGCCCCGTCGCGTCGCCCTGCCCCGTCCCGTCACCCTGCCCCATCGCGCCGCCCTGCCCCGTCGCGTCGCCCTGTCCCGTCCCTACGCCCTGGCCCGTCGCCCTACCCTACGCCCTGGCCCGTCGCCCTACCCTACGCCCTGGCCCGTCGCCCTACCCTACGCCCTAGCCCGTCGCCCTACCCTACGCCCTGGCCCGTCGCCCTAGCCCGCTCTTCCGCTGCGACTGAGTCCCCTTCCCACCTGAACCCTAATTTGCCTCTTCTCCCCGGTTGTTACTCGCCTGTTCGTTCGCGTTAGTTCTCACTATGGCGACTCCGCGAGTTCTTCGTTTCGACGCTGACGGTAGACCACTTGACTTTTCCGTCTGGCTTCTTCGCGCTCGCCGTCTGTTAGAGAGTCAGGTCCAGGGGGGCGAGACCCTCTGGTCGCACGCTACTGGTGACCTCCCCGAGCCCCCCGAGCCTACAGCTGTAGGCTCTGCCCCTGACGACGCTGCTACGGC